GTAAAAATACTCTATACAAAAATAGAATATTAATCTCTTAATATATAGAAGGATTTAAGAATTCTTTACAAGAATATAATATATCTTTCAATAGAATATTAATGTGATCTGCGAACTGTAGATATAATGACACTACTATCGTCTGAATTTCTGTTTTGTGTTAAGGGTTTTCCATGTTTAGCTTTTCTGCGCTGTGTGTAGGATTTTAGGTACACAGCCCAGTTTTCGTTAACAAACAAAAGGTTAGATCAAAGGTATTGACTCAATTCAGAAACAGAACCAATCTTCATGAAACAATAATGGTCTTAGCGACTCAGGAACAGAAACAGAATCAGTCTTCACGAACCAACAAAAGATTGGGGCTTTGATAGCGACTCAACTTCGGACCACTCTTCATGAATTAACAACGGTCTTAGCGACTCGATTCAGAAACAGAACCAGTCTTCACGAACCATCAATAGTAGGTCTTGATACCTACTTGAGTCGGCCACAGAAATAATCTTCATGAGCCATTCAACTCCATTCGTTACAAAGCATGGAGCAAATTATTCACGTTTTCTCCTAATTTATTTGAATTAGTAATAAATTCATAACTATTGATTTGCATAAACGTTTTAGTTCTGCAATGTTAATAAATATACGTTGATCACATCCAAAACATGTAAAGAGAGGTACCGCAAATGCATCTTTTGAGAATTTGCAAGGAAAGAGTGTCTATTAAATTAAATATTAAATTATTTACCTAAATACGTATAAAATTGAACAAAGCTAGCATTCATAGTCTTCATATTAGAATAATATATACAACAGAGTTCTCCAGTTTTCAATTTATCAGCCGCATCATGAGTATTAGTCTACCATTGAAACGGGCATGTAAGAACGCCTTAAAGCAACAAGGATCCCATAAATAAATCTCTCGTCGGCAATTATTCATCGAACAGCAAGCTATCTTTCACTCTTTCCTGCCATTTTCCTTTCGCTGACTATTCGAACGCTACGACGAGCGACTCTTCTCCAGCCCGGCTAAATCCAAAGCCAGGAATAAATATCGTGGAAGCAGTCAGTTCTACAGCCGGCTGCGTACAATCTTTAAATAATGCACACTAATACCCATTTCGCAGTTTGGTTATAAATTGGTTGAAGATCTTTGTATGTATCATCAACACGTGAATGCAATATCTCGGGGAGGGGCGAAGAAAGAAGGGGGACATACTCTCTTACTTCGGTGACAATAAATGAACATTTCGGAGGGATGCCCCATTTATATCTGGAATAGCCCTGGCAGTTAATCAATATGGCAGTTAGTGAGATATTGCCCGCTGAATAATGAGCAGAATGGGGCGGCACCGAGATCTGAAACGTTAAAGATTGCTAGGCTGGGGCGATGAACTATGAGTTTTCTAATCGGCCTTCTCGGCGTTCTTTTGTACATTGAAAGAAGATATGAAAATCCATTTCAAGTGCTTTTCGTAAATGGAGCCTTGTTTTTATTGTCCTGTTGCTCCAAAGACAATTTCTTTCACTAAAGTGCTCAGAATTTACGGTTTGGTATTTCTTTCTCATTTTAAAGGAGAACAGATATGATGTTTATTTTGGTTCTAGTTTAAACCTAAAAGAGACCTTAATGGTATCGATGCAAATAAGAATTTCTGAATGTATTTTAGTGAGACCAAAAATAACAAAGTGAATATAATGTTCTGTCATAATGTTCTCTTATGAAAGATTTCGATTTAACCGTTTTTAAAAGTAATTCGACTAAACTGAGTCACCTAATTGACTTGATTTAAAATCAGACTATTTAATTATGTTCTATCCCAGAGGTTTGAATTGATAAATGTCTTTAAATTGTGATAAGTTCTACATCGATCAATACAAAAAACAGGCGCATCTTTAAAACTTTAGGGTCTACTAGTGGCCGTGTGACTAAAACCCTGAACACTGGTAGTTCGATTCTGGTTCCTATGCCAGCGAATGGGCTGGCTGCATGGGTGAGTTTGTGGTTTCCCGTATGTAACTTAAATGGGAGCCATTTTCCTTTAGAAGTCTTCTACAAAAGCATTTTCTTTTTAAAGCAAATAAGGGCTAAGAGGATAGACTTTTTTTACTTTGTATATTCAAACTAACAAACAAATTATATGTGGGTAATTAACAATATAGTGTAATTTTAAAGCCGCAGTATGTGCACAATTACCATTTCTATGGTAAAAAGTAAAGTGAATCACGTTTTCTTTCAGCCGGCTGAAACTGGTTCTTAAAAGCAGCTATGCTTCTGTGGAATGAAAAAATGATTTACTTTCGGTGCATGCAGCTTTTAATTATGTTGCAATTAATTGAAAAATAATTCTCATTTAATTAATTTTTATTATTCATCGCAACCAGTCTATGACTGAACAGTTACATCTTGAAGGTTGGTTTAGGTTATTTGGATATAGGAAAATACGTAAGGGCTGTGCAATCTTTTAGTTGTGTTTGATCAAGAGCTTATCGAAAGTATTGATACTTATACTCACAAAAAAATGTTGGAAATTTTCTTTCATTGTATTGGCTGTGTAAGAGAAGCATGTATTCTTTACAGCCAAAATAGTTATAATATTATAAAAATTAGCATATTACTCGTATCTGGCTTTCAGTTTCAGAAGAATACATTTCTTTTTCAATTAAACGTGACTGTAAAAGTCTAGCTAATAATTAAGTAAATTTTAACCTTTAATTATGTTTTTAGAGTTGTTAGGAGTACCTCTTTAAGTATTACTACAAAATAATTTTTCATTAGATTTTTACGAATTATTTATCATTTGATGGTTAGGACGTCTTTTTAATTTTCAGAGTGCCTTTGAAATAATCTAGATAAAAACCACTCTTAAAAGGACTTTCATTTACACAAAAGTTTTCTGCATTGCATAAGAATCAAACACAAAATCGCTGTTCTTTAAGAAAGAAAAATATTTTAAACCTTTCTGTCAAATTTCTGCACTTGAATAGATGAAATATATAATAATTTCTTAAGAAGCATGATACTTCTGTCGCCATAATTTTGAAAAAATCTAAAAAACAAGAGATATAAAGTAATGATTTTAAACTGTTTTAGACGATAAGTTAATGAAATCAGTAAAGGAATTAAATTATTAACTAAAGAAGATTTATTCCTTTCAAGGCCGAAATGCAGGAGACAGCCTCTCATTCAAACGACCACAACAGTCCGAGAAAGCGATGTTGTTTTCTTCCCTCTCCCTAAGGTATGCAGTAGCAGGTGCAGCTTCCCCAAATGCATTGTATCAGAGAGCTTGTCCTAAAAGTCAAATGGAAGCTTCTTTGTTAGGAAGTAGAAAGGATGTCATTTGAAATTTTCACACCTCTTTGTGCGTTAATGGACGACGAGGAGAGGAATTGCCTAGACTCTTGAAAGGAATTTCGGCGTTTTGGTATTTTAACCATACAGGTTATCGAAGGCTTCGGTTTTTTTTAAGAGTTAAAGGAAATTTAATGCATTAAGTTAAAAAAAAGTAACATTTTTCGGCTTTTATCTGTTAGACTAAGAGAGTGTAAAATCTTCCTTTAGGGAGTAATTTTTTGCCAATTAATAAATAATTAATTACAAATTAATAAATCATTCTTCATTAATAATTATTGGTTTTTTACCCGTTCTTTCAAGTTTTGATTACTGGCGAACCCGGTTTGAATATCAGCGAACGGTCTGTTTTCATGGTTTTCCCCATGTGTAAAGTTTATATGAGCCAGTTTCCCATAGAAAGTGCTCAACGAAGGCATCCCTACCCTTTGGTAAATAGACGTCGTGTGCTTTGCCGTAATCAAATAAACCAAACCAAACCAAACGACTTTTGAGTGTAAATTTTCAATTATTTATTTTAATGTTTAAATTAAATTGTACCAAAATATTGTCTTATGTATGTATGCATGTATAGGCTAATATGAGATCGTTAATTTGACATTGAAGTCTTATGAAAACTTATATACCGTATGTATATTCAAATTTTAGATTTTTATTTCATTTCGGCAAATTGGTTTTATTCTAAAAATAGTTGCATTTTATTCTAAAAATTGGTTTTATTCTAAAAATAGTTGACGTATAGTAAAATTAATAAATATACTACTATCTTTTTATTTTCTGAACAAATATGGATGAATAATTCAAAAAATATACTGTGCTTCAAAGTTTAATTCTCAGTATGATATTGTAGCTAAATTTTCTTTTGTAGGTAGTGTGTCCTTATTAATGTCAGTAAGAGCTGAAACTTATTGTACAAGGATATTCATGACTAACCGCAAAAATCACCAAATACTCATTGCATTAAAAATTGTGCCGTAGTTTTTACCAGTATATTATTTTAATAACTTTTTTATTTAAAGCACGAAAATGTTTAAAGACAAATTTGATGTATTATGTTATAATATTTACCCTTAATTTTCTAGTAACTCTCATGCAATTTGAAAAACTCGAAAGTAATAACTATCTTCAATTTGTAATTTTTCTGTTGAAGATGAGTGTATAACTGTTTTCTCTTAAGATAAAAATTTAGAATTACTTTAATACCTAGTTGTTTGAAGCAATTATTCTACATTATATTAAACTAATTATGCTATCGTTTATTTTATGTCTTAAGAATTTTGAGCAAGGTCTAAAATGTTTTGTAACTTGAGGATTCAGAGAAAAGCAGTTTTAGTGTCGCCAAAAGGTAGCACAAACTTCTCCGCCGAAAACTGCATTTGAGCGTGCTTGCAGCTTATTAATGCTTTCAGGAACCCGAATATTCTCTGATGGATGTGCAAAAAGTGCACAACAATCACCACAAGCTGCCAACAGGGAAGCACCTCAAACTCAGCAGTGGATCCAAAACGTATTCTAATGGCTTGGTGGGGAGAGGGGAATGTATTATTACATTCTTATGCTTAAGGAGGGGGTGGGAAGAGTAAAATAAATAAAAATAATGAAATATCTCGCAAACCCATCATTAATTTCTCTTTTTCTGCTCTGTTTGTAGAATCTACTAGCCACATTGTAGACGGACTGTATGGAGGAAAACCAGCACAGTTGATCTATGCTGTCTTTACCACACCAACGTAAGTGATTTTCGGTTCTCGATTTTTTTTCGCCATTTTCTTTTATTTCTTTCTTCTTTCGCATCTAGACGGTTATTATTTTACTTCCAGTGGCCATTATTTTTCTCTGAGAAGTTTTGATGTTTTTTATTTCCTCAGTTTTCCTACACAGAGGAGAAATTTTAGGTGATGCATTATACTTAAGTAGAGATTATTTTTTGCCATTCAGTTGAGGAGAATTTTCCTTTCTTTTTTTTATTTTTAGGTTTAAGTCTAAATTGCAACATCAATCTTTTTTAGTTCTCGCTGTGGTACGAAAGATTATTTTTATACACATTTCCGTCCCCTTTTTTTAGAACTTTAGTGGCTTAGCGAAATACCAATTTTCGATGAAATTAAATGTTATTTTAAGATGTGGAATTTTTTTTTCTTTCTGTAATGGGCAAGTTATTTTTGCCAGCAGTTCTTATCCGTTCCCGCTCAATTTATTAATCCGCATAAAAACGTATCCATGCTATTATTTAAGTCTCAGAAGAGAAGTATCTCATTTTTAATAAATTCCGTAACTAACGATAGCCGTATTGAACTTTCTTTTAAAATGACCAATTTTTCTCACTTTCACAAAAATAGTCGCTAATAATAGTGCCAACAGTGGAGCGACGGCTTTATTCTAGAGAAGTAAATAGTGGCTTCCGAAAGCAAGTAATGTTTCTCATTTAGGATGCCTTTTGTCTTAGTTCATTTCTGTTGCTTATTGTAACAAATGTGCTCATTTGAAATGAATTATAACTTATTGGGAGCGCTTTAATACTTTATAGTTTTCCCTGAATACTTCTCATTACAATTTGGAATTAAAATTTTATTTAATTTTGCTAAGAACTTTAAATAATGGCTTTGCTCCATCAAGTAATTTACGAATTATAGTTTTCCTTTTAATTTGCGCATTTATTTTTCATTTTCTTTCAGAATGGAATTGGTGAACGAACTAATGTAACCATTTGTTTAGTGTACATTTGTTGTTAAAGCAAAGTGATGTTGGCATTATAAATCTTCAGAATTAAAATTGTCAGCCATTCTGCGTTTTAATGAACAGGAGCAAAATATTAGTCATAAATGAACTCACATTTTTTGTTGTTGTTTTTCTAGTAATCAACTGTAATTGAACTTTGCTGCGAACAGTTTACAAAACATTATTTTCTCCATTTAAATAGAATTGTTTTTAACTATGCCATATTTGTTTTCAGCTGCTAGGATAAGATATGTTCTTTTCACTTCTTTAAACTGTTGCCATTTATTATTTAATTTAAATGATTGTATTGTTAATCATTGATATACTTATGTTTAATGTGATTTTACGAGGAGGTCTAAAATTATATTTAATTCCCTAAAAATAATTTTGATAATTAATTTTTTTTAAGTTATTCCTTTTTAAAATGTAATTGTTAAACACTTCCAGCATAATTGTTGTTAGTCTCGATACGTTTTTTGAATCGCTGTTCGTAATATTCACGAAAGTGGTCTTTTGTTCGTTATTTAATTTCTGCTGGTCTGTCATGATAATGCCATATCAATCACTTTTGTTTTCTTCATTCAAAAGAATCTAGAACTTGCAAAAAATTTTTAATTATTAGGTAGCACATTAGGACAAAACTTGGAGGGTTCGAAACGCATTGACTGTAAGACTCCAGTAGACAAAATAATCATTATTGGGAATGTTACGAATAACAATTTGATAATCTGAAGCATGACATTAACGCTGGCGGTAATTATCCCGAAAACGGAACTGAAATCCAGAAATTGAATTAATCCTGAAAACCTTTGAATAACTAAGACTTTGAAGAAAATATAGCAGAATGTGTAATTTATTTCTGGGAAATAAAATTAACTTTTATCTCTCTCTGTGTTTATATGCTAGAGAAAATTTCCCTTTTAGTGTGAAACAGTCCTTTAAGTCAATGTAAGTAATTTGGTTACTTTCTCTTTCTGTGCTATATACAGAGTGTATCAGTACAGCGGTGACAAAATTTCACACAAACAAGGACACAAACACTGAGACAAAACATGTTTTATTATATTTAATACAGCAGAAACGAACAAATAAGAGCAAAAACAAACACCGATCGTCATTAAAGAAGGGGCTCGAAATTACGACCCTGGACCGTGATGCAGACCTGACTTCTCCGGCGCATGGAAGATCAGCATCACAATGGAAGATGCATGACGCGCAGTTCCTACATCAGGGTCCGGGTCGTAATTTCAAGCACTTTTGATGACGATCGATGTCTCTGTATGTGTTTCCCTTTGTTTTTGCTGTACTCCGAATAATAAACATGTTTTCTCATCCCGTTCGTGTCCTTTCTTTCTTGACTTTTATGTCGTTACTACCACGCCAGGAAAGCATTTGCGACCATGTATTGCTAAGTAACTTGCCATCCTCTAAGTGTACTCTATCTCTCCTGGAAGTTTGTCACCGCTGTTCTGATACACCCTGTATAGTATGCTTATTAAAGTCTTTATGGCATGCATCATTTTAAAATTAACCTCTAATATATGATTCTTATGTAACACTCACTACTCATACACTTACATGACGGCAGAAGTGTTTTATCCAATTATAGCAATTAAAAAAACTCTAGCTATAACAATAGCAATAAAGCGATGCTATGTCCCTCCAGTGAGAAACACAGTAATTTGACTATTCTTATTTTAACTTCAATAGTATAATCTTTTAAGTGATCTTGGGATCTTAAACTGTGCTTTTACTGAGATACTTAACCAGACGTAGAATTTTAGGGACATTTCAAATTTTTATGCTGCAGTAATATTAATGCGAGAACACACCTACATACTCCGTAGGCCAACTAGGCAGCTTTGCTTTTGGCTTTCTGCTGACATTTTACAGCGTGGTTTACCATTACAGGTATATTAACGCCAAAACCGTAGCGTATCTCGTGGGTCAAACTTTAACAAGTTATAAGCCTCTTGTTCGGTATTAGCACATTCTTCGCTTTTCCCGCTTGCCTCTGTTACAGCATCTGTTGTAGCTTTGGAACAGCGTAGGTCTTACAATTATAAAATAATGAGTGCGCATTTTCTACGTACATATCAAAAATGTTACGCCGGAAATAAAAAAGTGAAAAAACCGGCATAAACTTTATCTTCTTTGTAACCTTCCAACTTTCACCTACAACTAAACTTTCATTATATGGTATATATGCAGCTCTAAGATATCACATTTTGTCAAAATGAGTCTTATAATAACTTCATTCTTTAAAACAGTAGAGCTGTTCGTTTTCAAATCGCTTTAATTTTTTTTTTTTTTTTGTCATTATAATCCAATGTTTTACCCAAGGTTCTTTCTTTTTGTAACACTATATTATTTGATATACTGCTTCTGTATTAAAATGAAGATTCAGCAGTAGGGCAAGAATATTAATTTTCTCAAATTACTTATTGAAATCTATCACAAAAATATTTTTCTTGAGCAACTTCTGGCTGCATATAGACAACAAACGCAACATTCAGAATCACAGTTTGCAAAACAAAAGTATCTTACTTTCAAAATATGTAATTTTTTATTCAGTGAAACAGCATGAATTGTTGCCAGCTCAATTTATTAGTTGTTAAATTAATGTGATTAAAATTATGAATTTTTTTTTCTTGGTGCATAAAACGAGAGACAAAATGAAAATGGTGATATACTTATAACGTTTCGAAAGAGGTATTTTTTCTCCAACACATAACAGGAACTGCGTCATAATGTTCAACCAAGATAAGCACAGAAGTTAATTTATGCTGCATCGCACTAATTAAAGCCATGCAAATGAGAGCATTACCTTCTTGCTAATTAATTTAGTGTCAAGGGAGCTTTTTTATGTTTTTATGTATTTATTTTTTTGCTTGGTTATGTTATTCATGCTTGGGTCATTGTAAACTGCTTGGTCTGTTTTTTCCCCTCGCTTGCTTTTTGCTGTTTCTTTCATTTTATTTTTGTGGTTGATGGTGGGTTAAATGTCTTTCTAGAATTAAAAAAAAACGAATTTAAAAATAGTTCTAAACAAAAGTAATTGTTCGCCTGGCTAAATACGTCTTAAAAATTTCACTCCGAACACAAATGTATAGCGTATGATTAATTGAAAAATAATGTTTTGGTCCTTGTTATGTTTTTTCCTTGCTGGTGTTCTTTCAGTTTCACCGAATTTTCCCATAACAACACATTTTAATTTAGAGACATTCGGTTTTTGTTTCTCTTTTCGGTTGTTTAGGAATGAAAAATTAAAAATTAATGAAACAAACGTAGAACACTCTCAGTCGATAACTAAAATGTAGGTAATTAAAATTGTTATTAATTTTGCATGAAAATTCGGAATATTTACAATGAGACGCTTATATTTAACTATACTTTAAAATTTATCTGAAATGCATTTATCACGAAATCACTTATTTATAAAGTCAAACATTTATTTCTAAAAATTCTATGTGTGAACGAAGGAATTAGATGGATTAAAGCTGGTACTTATCCAGCTTGAGTTGGTACTTAAGTTGTCCTGAGTATTAAATGAACTGTCTGTAGATGTTTTTCGCAGTTTCTACATAATATTTCGCATTAAGAGATAATATGGAGATGAAGATTTTGTCTAATGCTGAGACATAGTTGTGGACTTTTCAATTCTTTTTCTTCCAAAGACTACTAAGCAGGATACAGAAATATAATCACATTGAACTGGAGCAACAAAATTTAGACGCGGATATCTTTTAAATGTTTAAAGCTTTCATCTCAAATTTTCACTAGAAGTGAGCTTAGTTAAAGGAATTAGTTTTCACTTATTCTTTAGCTTTACAGTTTGGCCAGATTTCTGAATACAAAAGAAAAAAAATTATTGCTTTATAATCTTTTTTATGGGAGGAGGAGAACTGTAGTACTAAGTAAATAGTTTCAAGAAGGTAGAAAGAGAACGAAAGAAAACATTCAAATTGCGATCGGTTAGAAATATTTCGTTAGCAAAGGAGTCTCTAATAGCGTTAATAGCAATTAGTTTTAAAAGTAAGCAAAGATGTATAATCGGGCAAAGGGCCAGGCATTTCCCTTTTTTTTTGCGATTACGTATGTCGTTACCGTTTATATAAATATTATATAATTAAATAAAGAATGAACTACCTTAGAAGGATTGTTCGTAAACATATTGTTGCGTTTTTTTATTCTTCTGACACCAGTTGTTACGTTATTTTCTTCCTTCACGTTACTGCGGACCAGCAGGGTTTATATAGCTTTCGGCTTGTGTTCGAGAACATTCTGGGCTAAACCGGTAAGAATTCGTTCCAGAAGGTTCTCCATCCGTCCATGGTATATCGCTAATTTTGTCGACAAATGGGAGATTTCTCGCCAAATATGGCAACCCTGCCTTCCTTTGCAATTTTTCTGGCAACCCTAAAACTGTTTGCGGGGAAGCTATTTTACCGCGCCTGTACATTTCGTATCAATATAATTATTTTAGGTCAAGAACAGGAATTAACAAAATTACACGGACTCTTACAAATTTGAATATATATTTATATAGATGAGATCAGGTTACAGATAAACAATTAATGTCAGACAGTAGGACTGGGATTTCACAAAGCAGAGGTTGAAAAAAAAACTGTCCTGTGGATAAATCTAGACATGGATTTTGATTTAATGAACGATATAACGTAAATTAATTACTCTGAGACCGGAGGTCTTCAGAGGAACGTTCGAAATCAGCAACAATTCATCTTCGTTACATTATCAAAGCAAAAACGTTTCCCTAACTGGTGAGTGGTTACAAAAAAAATTAAGTGAATTTAAAACTTAAAGTTTCCTTGAAAACACTCACAAACTCATCCTCCACGTTTTTGGCTTTCAACACAGGTTAAAAAAAAGATAAAAATTAATAAGATAAATCCACGTATTATAGATAGATAGTTAAAAAATGCTAAAATTAGATTATAAAAACAAATATAACATGAAAAAATTAAAAAATGCAATAATTGGTAATAATTTTAACCAAAACTGATCTAAAATTAATCAAAATAAAAAGGAACTATCTTCTAGTATCATTATTTTGAAAGAGTTGGATAAAAATGCTGTGAAGCGGAAAGAAGCTTAGGCTTGCTATTGTTAACAGTATAAATTATAAAATAAAGCTAGTAGTTGGCATGAAATTTGAGCCTAAATCTAGCGTGCAAAGCTAATTGGAAAAAAAAAAAAAAAAAAAAAAAAAACAGATTTTATTTTAGGAATTACTCGGAAAATTAAAATATTTTTTTAAATACTCTGGTAGCAGTAAACTCAGAAATATTTACATAACTGTAAAACTAAGAAAATAAAATTGTATATAATTGAATTTATTTCTTTACTTTCCTCTAAAAGTAGAGAAATTTTATTAATTTAAAACATAAAGGAAATAATTTATATAATTGCAGTGGGAATATATATTGGTGGGAATATTTTTTATTATTTAAAGAAATTGCAGTATTATTTCAACGAAATTTAAAAAATTTGCTGTATTAGTTCAATGACCTTAAAACATGTGTGTTTTCAAATCCAAAATGTATGTTGTTTCTATTTGCGCAATCTTCAAATTGAAATCTTTCACACTGTGTCAGCAATTATAAATAGGGAAGATCTTGAATTGCCTTTTACACAACATCTTGCATTACGTTATTTCCATATAATGATTTATTTTCCTTATGTTTTTTGCACAGCTTCGGAAATATATTTGAAAAAATAAATGCCAGACAGATAGTTCTTACAGAATCGGATTGCCTAAAATCTCGCTAAATAAAATGTTTGTCTAAAATTCTGTTTCCTTCTCAAGTTACATAAGGAGACTGGACACATTCTGAATTACGGTATTGTATTATTACTGTTATTGATTTTAGCATTGGCATTTAGAAGGCATGCGAAGTATCTCCAAGACGCTATCGAAGAATAATTTTATTTCATTAATTTCTTTACACAATATTAATTTTTTTTTAAATTTATTTCTGGAGATACAGTATTTTAAAGATACGTTTCTCATATCACTTTGCTGGTATTTTTATGTAATAAGCTTCCAAGTTTTATTGTAAGTGTGATCTCGAAAAAGAGTACATTGAAATAATTAATAAATTTCTTTTCTAATTGAACATTTTACTTTAATTTGAATAAAGGACGTTTGCTCACTTTGATATCTCTTCAATTTTTATTGCATTGCGAATACATGATATTCTTTCCAGGAATTTGCTTTTTAAATCTGTGCTTTTTCTTTCTTTTCTTATTTAAGCGAGAGGAAATTATTATTTTTTCACTATCATTCTATTTTTGCGGATAAAAACTTTATTATCTTCTATTATCATTTCGTTCCATTAATTTTTTCAGTTCTTGGTGTTATTCTAATTCATTTTCCTTTCTTTATCTTCAGATACATCTCTGTAGCCGGGAGCCTTTTTTAACAAATGTCTGTTACTTTTTCCCCTCCTTTTTTTTCCATTAACTGCCCCCACGGTCGTAATTCATTAATAACATGAAATTTTCCTCATTTTTTGTACCTATTGGCTGTTGTTTTTCCATTATGCAGAAACCGGTTGGTGGAAGGGGGCTGAGTGTCACACATTAATAGTTTCCCGTAGCCAATAATTAACTGATGCTGTCAGCACTTCGGAGAGGACGCTGTTAATGGAAGTTGAAGTTATTGATGGCACCCTATTGCACTATTCATCTTAAAGTAGTTCGCTGCCTCTTTTGCATTATATATTTTCGTTTTTTAATATTTTTAGTACAGCTTAGTATTTTTAGAATTTTGTTTTATCGCATTTGCCATCTTCAATAATTATTCCGTCTATATTTCTCTATATTTCCCGTGCTTCAAACCATATTTGAAGAAAGGCAAGATAAAAAATAGTAGATTGGTATAGTTTCATGCGTAAGGAGAGCTGTCTAATTAAGTGTCTTTAATTAATTTGAATTCTGAATAATTTTTATTATTGGAAAGCAGTTTCACTTTTAAGTCATTGATAAAATTTAAGAATGAAACTATTTCGCGTGGCAGCAACAAAACGTTCAGCGTTTTTTAATTTGAACAACTCAACTAAAATAAGATGCCTTGCATATATAAATGAAGGTATGTTGCATATAGTACTGTTATTATTATTAACATATATTTATCATTCATTTTTAGGAATACTTGTAACTATTTAGATTCAATTTGACAGGCATACGCAAGATTACGTAAGATTCATTACTTTTAAATCCTGAATTGTTTTAAAAGCAAGCTGTGACTGCTTATACGAATAGTTAACTCAGCTAATTCATATTATTATAACACTCAAATGTTAAAAATAAGAACTTAGTTTTATTATCAACTCAACTTGAATTTTAACAATAACTTGATTGCAATTATGCGCACGACATTATGCGCACGCATTTCTATTATGTGCACGACAATATAATAGAAACCTTTCCATTATTATTTACAGTAACTGTCACAACTTATCTAGATTTGGATGGTTTTCTAATCTAGCTCTCCCATTTTTGTTGTCTTTACTATGGTAACATAGATGAGATTGATTTCATCCTAATTATCTAATACACAGCTAACTGAATCTAAATTTATTTACCATAGTAAGTTTGAAATAACTAATTAGCTTCGACTAATAAATTTACTGGTATATACTTTATTAATCTTTCCAGTATTTGCATTTCCTTTGACGAATTTATTCCTAAGCATAGCAAACGAAATGACAAAAAATGGATAGGAAAGAAGGGGAAAACGCTTTCTTAAAAAATGCATTACATTTTCTTAGAATAAATATAAATTTACAGTTACAATATTGTATCAGACTTATGTAGAATTTTATTTCTGTTACTCTCACAGAGAGTTTACCTCTTGTTCAACTCGCAGATTGTAATACGACTATAACTATAAATATTCGTATTCCGAATTAGTTCATGTATAAAATTTTAGTTTATCATATCCATATTGATATTATCATATCCATATTGATTGATATAAGCCATCATACGATACAATATATAAAATTTAAAGAAATGTTCCAATAATCTTAATCTACCTTTCATTTTCAGAAATAGCATAAGTGGTTCAGCAGTGTGTGCATTTCGCCTTGAAGATATTCTGAAGACTTTCGATGGACCATTTAAGGGACATGAAGATGTTAATTTTAATTGGCTTCCTGTCCAGAATTCTAAAGTTCCAGAACCTAGACCTGGCCAGGTATAAATTCTTCTCAAATTGCAGATTCTTGTGTAGCTCACCTTGATCTTCATATCAAAGTCGGAATTAATCTCATAAATAATTAATTTCAAAATTCTGATCTGTAATATGACTGTAGACAATTGTATGTAGATCTCAAATTATAAATATCTCAATCAATTATTTTTAAAATTGCAAATGGTAGTTAATGTTAGTAGTATAACTAGTTAAAGGCTCTCTCTTTTAAACTTTAATGAATTAAAATATAAACGAAATGTCAGTTGTCAACCATATTTCATTATTTAATGCAGATTACTACGGTTAAAATCTTAAGAGTAGTTAAGCATAGATTATCTGACTTCATCAGAAACCGGAGGAAAGCAACAACAACATAAACGAAAGCCAGTTGCTAAAATTAAATGTTTTATCTTTTAGCCTGAGACCTAACACTAAATACAATCCAGTTACTAAAATTAAGTGTTTTGCCTTTTAGCCTGAGACTTAATACTAAATGCAAACTGTAGTTTGAAAAAGGAATTAAGATGTTTTAAGTAAGATGAATTATTTCTCTTAAAGTAAAATTTCAGAGACATTAATATGTTCAACGAAGAAATTCTGAAAAATGAATTAATGATTTAAAATTCAGGAATGAATGATTTAAATGAAAAATGAATGCATGGTTTAAAACTAAAATTCGCCTCAAACTCGAGTCTTTCAGTCAGTATCTAGATATGTTACAACTCAAACACACATCGTAGAAATGCCGTAATTTATCGTTAAATGCGATATATATTTGAATATATTTTAACTATGCTTACATTGCAGAATATTCCATTACAACATTAAGGGTATAGCTAGCATCAGCATGAGACTCGGTGCAACTGATACGGTCGCACCAGATGATAGAATTTAGGATTACAGAGACTACATCGAGTGACAAAAAGCCTAGCTCCGGCATCTGTACATAGCTTAAAGGAGAAATATCTTAAATGAGTTAAAAAATTTATAAAAATGAGAAAATTTAAATCCCTTTTAAATCCGCTATGGAATTTAAAAATATAATAAATACGTTAAGTGTGTTCTGAATTAATAATTTAAGTACATATTTTATGAATTAATAAGTATATGCAGTTCCTTGTTTACGAGAACGCTGTTTATTCACAGCACGCTTCTTGCGTATGAACATGATTTTAGCCCGAAATGCTTTATTTCGTTCCGTTGCAGAAAACAATAGCTACTCTTAAGATTTTAACCATAGTAATCTGCATTAAATATTGAAGTATGGTCGATAGTTGCTGTTTCGTACTGAGTTGGGATAACACTTATAAAACTAAATTTCAAACTGACTAAAAAGACTCTTGAGTATTTCTACTAACGTGGGAAGAAATCGTGTATTTTTTTTTACCAAATCAATTAGTGCGGGTCCTGTAATAAAAGCGAGAACAAAAATAACTTGAGTTTTTCGTTTGAAATTATGTAACATATCCTTGAATATATTTTCTATTTCCAGTGTGTCAATGACTCCAGAACATTGCCGGAGATGACGGTGAACTTCATCAAAAATCATAATCTAATGGATCAGTCTGTACCAGCTTTCTGGGGAAAGCCTCTTGTAATCTACACAGGTTTCAAGTAAGCATATTGCTCTAACTTCTTGCAGTCATCTGTGAGAGATGAAATTCTTACAAAATCGATGGTTAATTCTAATTTTTATATATGTGTCTGTAGATTAGAAGAAGACTATAGTTAATAGGAAATTGGTTACACTACGATTTGTATAAATATTTTCCTTGTAAATACTGTCAAATCCAAATAAAATAAATATTATGTGGGCAAAATATGTAAACATATCAAAGGTGTATTTTTAAAAGTTTCAGTATTAAAACATTTAATTATATGAATATTTTATAATTTCTTATAAGTTCTCAAAACATAAACATAATAAACTTCCATTATTTTTAATTTCGTTTTATTTTATTCATTTTACTTATTTCTCAAAGTCGAAACTGTTTGCTCTTTTAAAATATATGTATATGTAGACTGTTAAACCTAAGGTTACAAAGTGTGACTTGCTTTGGTAGCATAAACTACTTTTAAAATCCTAACAGATTTTAAGCGAATTATCGCTATGTTTGGACAGAACTACGAAGTCTAATGAAGGTTTTTAAAGCAAATCTTTTTATTAAATCAGAACTTTGAACTTAATTGCACGGCCTGTGCTTGCAAACTTCGCCAGCCACTTTCGACGAGATAACTTAAAATAACAAAATTCAAGGTCAAATTAAAATTTAAATTAAATATTAATTAGTCAAATTAAAATTTAAATTAAATAAGCTAGTAGTCAGAGGCAGCACAGTTCAAATTAATGCGAAGTTAGCTCAAAATTTCTTACCGATGCAGCAGTTGAAATATCGGCAACTGTTGTGCAAAGCCGAATAATACAATCTTATCTGAGCTAGCTAACCTAGTAACGTCAGCTCTAGTGGTAGAACACGCTCTGAATTAAAGTCTCGAAATCTTCCTAAAAATATTATCTCTTTCTACCTCAATTTACGTTCTGGTAAGGAACTGAAACGAAAAGTGATAGTAAATATCCAAACCATAAATAAGTGCTTAGTGAAAATTAATAACAATAACTCTACGAGGCAAAAATGAAGATTAAAGATATATTCGGTATTAAATAATTTCTCCATAAGGGTAATTACTTAAAAGCTCTTCGAACAAAAACATTTTTTAATATATACATTATCCAACCTAAATAGCAATCGTTAGACATATTTCTTTATAAAACGAGTTACAGAAGCAAATATCGACAAGATTCGGTAAATTAATGAATTTTGTAAAAGGAGAGGGAGTAAGGGATTTATTCGAAATATTTAAGCATGATATTTGTATAACTGGAGACCTTTAATGGATGCTTTTAATTCTACTGTTAGATTGGACAAAGAAAAAAAAAATCATCTAAAAGCAGCTATTTTATTAAATCTGCAATTATTTAATGATTTTCAATTTAAAATATGTGTATTTTTATTTCTATAAAAGTATTATAGAAATTATAATTTTTCATCCTAGATATCGTTACACATACATCGCAGTTGATCCTCAGGTGGAAACAGCAAATGGGAAAAAGTATGATGTTCTGTTTATAGGAACAGGTTTGTAGAATTTTGTATTTAGTTTCAGTTCATAAATTAAATTTTGCGACCATTTGTTTTTGAAACTTTAATTTAGAGACCTAAATTCGAAAATATATTTTTTGTTAATGTTTTAAAAAGAAACGGATGTTATTTTTTTAGATGGCTTTACTTTTTATGCTTTTTATGCTATGTGTCCAATTTGCTTTATATCTTCTCGGTGCTTCGTTTTTTTTTTTTTTTTTTTTTTTTCTCCTAAGAGTGTATATTTAATGTGTGTCTAACACATATAATAAAAGACTCTTTCTTTTATTATATGTAGAGATTTACGCTTTGAATATTTTTCAAAACTGATCTTAGATAATAAAATAGCCGTTATATGTTAACAAAAAATTCCATATTCAGTTGTTCCACAACGGGGCAGGGCAAGTTGGCTCCATGATCTTCGAAACTTTACAGCTGGAATGAATAGAAGCATAGCGAATATTTTAATTGAGCGTTTGAAATTATGCGCATCGATTATTCAACGCAATAAAATTTTTCAACATTTCAATAAATTACTAAGCCAACTCAGCTAGGCATTATAGACCTGCCATGTTCTAGCTAGTAAAAATATATGAGTAATATCTGTAATTACCGTCGCGGGTATTCTGTGATTACAAATTTATTATATATATGTTCTAATCTTATTTGATGATGCAATAAGAAGTTAAAATTATTTTATATGGAAATTATATATCCTATTCCATATAATTCGTTATTTAATAATCATTAATGGTTCTTTTTTGTAACGTCTTGTTTATAAGGAATGTAGACTTAATGGAATAATACTTCGTTTTTCAACCAACAGATAATGGCAAAGTGATAAAAGCCCTGAATGCTGGCAGTGATGAGAAGGAAGCATCTAAAATCACACCTGTTATCGTAGAGGAAATGCTAGTGTTCCCACAGCGGGTCCCAATCACCAATCTTCTAGTATATCATACCATGTCAGAAGCAAAGTTAGTCGTGGTCTCTCAAGACGAAATCCTTACCATACCCCTCCACAACTGCGACAAACATGCTCGTACTTGCAGGTGAGATAAAACACCCTTTTTTAGCCGTAGTATTTTTGTAAAAGGATAACTATACTTTTTTACATAAAATTTCATTTGGAGAGTGAGAACTAAAACTCCGCCGATTGCTTTTATTAAAATGTTTTGAAATAATCAATTAGCAATGAGATGTTTCAACTCTATACTCAGTATTATAAAATATCATTCATAAAACTAGCCATTTTTTGTTTTTAAGGTTTTCTATAATATCTTCGCACAAAGTATAATTGAGCCTTAACATTTAAGCAACCTTTTAAAAACTGTACCACATTTAGACTTCAAAGGCATTTTCAAAAAGTATTATCCTAAATTTTCTTTATCAAATATTGAAATTCCTAGTCTACCGATGAGAGCCTAGCAGATGAGAGCGCAAGTTAATACTAGCAATTCAACCCGAGCTCAGGTCTGTGCGAATGGGTAGCGCATACTGTGAGCCTTTTGTTACAAACATTAATAATGTTATTAAGAAACATTATTTTAAAATCGCTTACATTATAATCAATAATATACTATTTTGATAGCAAAATAAATTCAAATTTTACGTCCTGTGTAGCGGTACCATTTTACAAGTACTATCAATTTGCCCGGCCACTGGCATGGATGAGTATGCATACGTTAGTCGACGGCAGCATGGTAACGTAATCTAAAGTAACTGATTCTAATGTAAACAGTGACTTCAGTTCCGTTAAAAAATTTTATTTCAGTAATAAAATAATTTCATGTTCATTATTGTTGCGCTAATAAATAATAAAACAAACTTCTTAAAAGAGTTTTCTCCAAAATTTTCTTAAATTTCAGATGCATGCAAAATAATATTTTTAACAGCTTTTACAATTTTCTATCTTCAATACATTTTGGTGGGTGAAATCCGTCGCAGAAACTTTATAATTTAATACAGAAAATCAAATAGGAGGATAAAAGCCTTAGAAAAGATGATATTATCTAAAATAACCCAAAATAATTAACAAAAGAAGAATTAAGGTATGTTTGTAATTACTAAGCTTATGTAATTTTCTGTAGTAATTAAGTTTCTTTTCTTATTGACGTAATTAATGTGCAGTTTATGTTACTCATAAGTAAAATAAAAATCTTAGTTTTGTATTAAAAAGAGCCCTCATTTTCTCGATGAGCTTAATTAGAACCATAAATAAGATAATACGAAAATTCCTATGAAACAGACTATCTTCAAAACACTTTTAATGCCTAAAAATACTTTTCGTCATAAGATTTCATTTAAGAATTAAAACGCAGTGAGAAATGCATTGAATTTATTCAAGCCTCATGGACACAATAAGTACGATTTAGAAATAAATATAGTATTTTTTAATGCAAAGGAAAAACATTCATTTGTCATGACTGCATGCAAAGGTTTTAAGATTTAATGTTCAAACTATTATATAGAATTCTGATAATCATTATGCGAATGAAATAATTGTTTTATCATGTTATGCAAAATTTCAGAAAACTGACAATTGCTTTTTAATTCATGAAATTTTTCATCTAAGGAATATGTAATAGACTGTTCATTACAAAATTTTAAATTTTAAGCTACATTTTCTTGGTTGTGCAAATTAATTTGAATGAAAAATTAATTCTTATCTTAAAAGATATAACTCTTCGTTGCACTTTACGGATTTTAAATACCTTATTTTGAGGTTACTGAATATGTGTACATCATGCAAAAACGTCAACCGTAAGTTTACATGGAAGAATTGTGAAACTAGTTTTTAAATTAAATTAAATGTGAATTTTAATTGAAATATAAAATTTAGATAATTTCATAATTACTTCATTTCTTGCATAAATACAGACAGCAAACATAAATACTCTACTCATGAAGTAATCACTTTGCTTATAATTTAAAAAAATCTTGCTCATAATTACACTCATGTCCATAAATTAAGGATAATTCGGAGTCACGTGGAAATCGAACTCTAAAATAAAAATATCACCTGTAAAATTACTACACACATCTTCAAGAATCATATGCAAATTTCAGGAAGTAAACCAGATGACACCGATGGTACGTCACAATGACGAGAGTGTAAGAGAGTGATATATAAGGAATACAGGCAAAGAAGTAAAATTTTCGCAGGCGCTTTATAAGCATTTCAGTGCAATAACCGAATAGTTATGACACAAAGGGCGCAATTTGGATGATTTTTTACGTGGTAGAATTATCGGCCGTCTGGAATGTGGGCGTACCCGACTGGAAGTATCAGACAAACTTGGAATTGCCCAGAGTGTCATCTCCAGGCTTTGGCAACGATTCCAAGATGATGGTAATGTGAGTAGACGTTACAGCACAGGTCGCTCCAGAGTTGCAACGCCGAATGAGGACCGGTATTTGGCAGTTACTGCCAAAAGAAACAGGCGGAGCACAGCCTCAGACCTGTCTCGTCAGCTCTCTTCAGCCACTGGTACGAAAATTTCAAGGCAGACCGTGTACGGACGCTTAGGGCAGATTGGTCTATATGCTGGTAGACCTGTCAGATGCGTTACTGCAACTCACTGTCGCCTGCGGTTAGCCTGGAGTAGAGAGCATGCATTGTGGACACCGCAACAGTGGGGTTGTGTGATGTTTTCCGACGACGAGTCCAGGTTTAGCTTGCAGTCTGATTCTCGCCGGACTTTCATATGGAGAGCTCCAGGTACCCGTTACACCAAGAAAACATCATTGAACGACACCGTTACGGTGGTGCAGGAGTGCTCGTTTCAGGTGGTATTATTCTGGGTTCCAGAACTGACCTGCCTGTTCAAATTGGAAACATGACAAGCCAAATCTATTGGGACGTCATTCTGGAACAACATGTACGTTTGTTTTGGCGCGCCATGGGCGTACAATTTGTGTTTATGGATAACAACGCCCGTCCTCACCGTGCAAACATCGTAAGCGAATGCCTGCAATCGGAGGATATCACCCGTATGGACTGGCCAGCATTCTCACCGGACTTGAATCCAGTAGAGCACGTGTGGGATATGCTTGACCGACGAGTTGCAGCCCGTCAACCTCCTCCTACATGTCTACCGGAAGTTCGGAGAGCATTGCCTTTTGAGTGGTGTAATATCCCCCAAGATCAGATCTATAATTTGATACTCAGCATGCCTAGGCGTTGTACGGACTGTATTGCATCGTCTGGGAGACATACAATGTATTAACAATCATACCAACCATGTAATATTGGTTTTTTTTTGTAAACAGTTTTTTTTTTTTTTTTTTTTTTTTTTTTTTTTTTTTTTTTGTAATTTGCTCCAGGGAGAAAAAATCGCTAATTTTTTTAATAATATCAAACATATAGCATCTTTTTTTGCTCTTTACCTTTTGTTTAGTAAATATACTTTACAAATAAGACAAATTTGTTTTGCTTCTAACTCTTCCTTTGCCTGATTTTGCATTATCCTTAATTTATGGACATGAGTGTAATATAACAAACAAATCTAAAAATAGAAATAATTAACAAAATTATTTTTATCTCTTACTTTTAATCAGTGTAATGAAAGTTGGTATAAAATGGAAAGAGAAATAAAAAGCAACGAAGGAGATTCATTTTATTATAATTAATAAGGTTCCTGAAGCACAGATAGGCAGAAAATTAGCGTTCTTTAATGGCCTACACTAAAATTCCATAGTTTTGTATTTATTACACATTTATTAATTGCATTAAATGTCAGATGGACAATGGCTCTAATCATGAGAAACCGGTAAAAGTTTTAAAGCAAACATTAGTTACATTTTGAAATTTCGATATTTTATAGTCACTGTGAATGCAAAACTATTATACATTTACAATGATAATTGTAGTCAAATATAGCCGGAGATACGGATTTTATATTTTTTTTTTAATCTGGAATTTTCGGATTTGTGAAATGTTCACTTATTTTTTTTTTCTAATTTTATTTTAGGTAAAATATATCATTCGGAGATTAAACAAAACTTAGATTACGCAAATACTAAATATTAGAATATTTGGCACTCATAGATACTTAAGCATAAAATGGAAAATCTGATATCGTAATATCGTAAAGTTTTGGGCTAAGAGAAAACGGAAAGCAGAAATACCCGGTCTTTATAAAACTTATTAAATCTGTTTTAACATGCTTCTATCCACCCTTTGTTGAGACATCTTCAATGTTAAAAATTAAATGTAGTAATTTCAATGAAATTTATTAAATAAAATTTATTAAAGCTTATTTAAAAATTATTTAGTTTAATTTATTAAAAACTATTTATTTTTTATTATTTTTTTGGTACCGTAGGCACTCGTAAAAAGCATAATATTTGGCTGATCTGCCTTTGGCTCGTATCATTCAGTTTGATCACTGGTTTCATTAGCACTCTTACGAAATGTCCAGGCGCGGTGAGATAGCTTCCCCGCAAAGCAGTTTTAGGGTTGCAATAAAATGACAAAGGAAAGTAGGATTGCCACATTTGGCGAGAAATTGCACTTTGGGCGACGTTTGGCGACAAAATTGGCGATGTGTCATGAATGGATGGAGAACCTTCTGGAACGAATTCTTACCAGTTTAGCCCAGAATTTTCTCGAACACAAGCCAAAAGCTACATAAACCCTTGCTGGCACGCGGAGAGAGAGTGCGAGTTAGTGCCTCGCCAAGACTGCGACATAGTTAGTCTCGAATTAGTCAGTCCGTGCGGAGTCGATAGAGTTAACAGCCGGGCAGCGAGTGCCGAGTGGGTAGTCGAGTGTATCGAAGAGTCTCTTAGTGTATCGCTATTAGTGCATCGTCGAGAGAGTGTGTTTAGCTCTGGAAACGACTGAACCGAAAAGTCGGGAGCTGTGCTCTGTGTGTCGTCGATTGCGTCGCGATTTCTAGCGTGGAGAGTCTCAAGAATACTTGGAGTTCCGAGAACGACCAAGCAGAGTCGAAAGCTGTATTCTGGTGCTTTGCAGCGAAGCTGTTTCGACCGTTATAGCTTGATAGTGTGAAGGCTGTGTTGCTGCTTGTGTCAGCGTGTTTATAGT